TTACATGATAATAATGCCCCCATTCACAGAAACGACAGTATCATCCTCTTCGTCACCCGAAAGGGCCTAGTTACACCTAATAACTACCAACATGTCCGTGACGCAGAATGCCAGCCTATCGATGTCGTCTGCATGATCCATCGCTGTTGCTATGTGTTTTTTGTTTTTCTTTCTTTATTTGAAGGATGAAAAAAAGAAGGTCGGCAAGTTTTGTACAATTGGTAATTGTTCTCAATCCACCACACGTTGTCACGCTACCAATTCAGTATAGCGATCTGAGGAGGCATATGAGTAGCGAGCTAGAGGACAAAATATGTCCACCACTGGTCGACCATAGAAGGAAGACAAAGAAAGATTAAAAATTACAAATGCGGCGCTGAGGCGTTCGCGTCATCATACAAAACGGTTTTGCCCCAAGTGTCTCCTTGAAGAATAAAAAGTTGTTATAAGTCGATTAAAACAACAGGGAAAAAACACGTATGATTGCAAGGGCTCCCAGAGCAGTTGTGGACCAAACATGGTATCGAAGCAAAGAATAATTATTACGTTGGAAACAGCGGCATTAAGATCGTCTATTTCGTTTTCTCAGTTCGCTTCTTATCGGCAAGTCTGTCGGCTCGAGGGCCCTTGTACTTGGTACCCAAGATGCCGTCCCAGAAAGTGAAGAATGGCTGGGAGAAGTTGGTCTTGATTCCCCAGGTCTGGTGGTGGATGTCGTGATAGGCGGCGTTATTAGAGGTGATGAGCTGCAGGGGGTCCCAGGGAAAGGCGTATCCACAGTGGTCATCGACGGTCTTGATCGTCGAGAAGGCAAAGAAGCAAGTGCCTTGGCGAACCGTCATGCCGGTCAGCTTGAACGCAATACCGGCACCGAGTGTATCCAGCAAGAAACCTTCCAATGGGTGGTTGTACAAGGCGCCGTATGCATACGGAACGTAGAGTCGGTGGTGTCTGGAGTGAAAAGTAGCTATGAAGATGTCAGTTGTTTGCTCACGATTTGACTTGCGAGGATAGAGCTGGACAGTGGACAGCAGGATCGAGACTCACTGTACATCCATCGATTCACATGCATCAGTCGGTGTAGGAAGTACTGCCATGAATCGAGGAGGAAGACGGCCACGAAGAATTGAATGGCTGGAATGATGAGATGATACAGGATTTTAGCAACAGCCATCTCCCAAGGAGCAAAAGCAGGCACAGTAGACTCGGCCGTTGAGAGGAATGGGTAGTAGCCGCCAGCAAGAGCACCAGCTAGCAAAGGATGCGTCGCCGACATGCTCTTCGAGATGGCAGTGGCATTGACACCGAGAAGGCTCAGAAAACCAGGCAGGGCTCGTTGGGCAAGTCGAAGTCTGGTAGCCCAGACGGCAACGTCATAATCTGCCTTTCCAATCACCTCAGGAGGCTCGGACAGAGCCAAGACGGTACCTGTGGCAACCTGAATAATCTGCTGGATAACGACGTCGCGCGCTACTTCATATCGGGAGGCGTGGTTGCGGCGCAAAATCTCCTCGGGAGTGTGAAGGCGGTACTGCGGAAAGAGATCGAGGACATCAATAACGTGGAAGAATAGCGACATTGCCCAGTAGACGAAGACGGGCAGGATGAGCGAAAGCCAAAAGTCAGAAATCCATGAAAAGAAGTCGCCTCTGGGCTCGAGGGTATACGAAGGCAGCGGCGGCAAAGCCGAATCGAACAAGGTGCTGTTTGCCATGGCGAACAGTACGGGAGAACCCTTGGTGTCGTTGACCATGATCTGTACTGCTGCAGTAGGTTCCGAATGGCTGCTTGATGGGTACTGTCCGCAATTAATACGATGTTCGTCCGAGGCGCTGGTCGAGTGACGTCGAGGAACAAATGCCGCGAACGGCGGTTTCTGCGGTAGGGTGAAGTTGGGCGACGTCGGTGGCCGGTGGTGAAAAGGAGAGAGAGCACTGAGTCGATGGCGATGAGGGCGATTAAGATGGTGTGAAAAATGCGTTGCTCACAATGGCAAACCAAAAAGAAAAAAAAGAAAAAGAAAAAAAGATAACAAACGGCTGAGTTATGTGGAAGACAGCGTGGCGAAAAGGAGCGAAGGTGCCGAAGCGAAACAATGGGATGATGAGAAAGATGATGGGATGATGGGATGATGGGACGGCAAGGGTGGGTTATTCGAGGTGTTCCAACAAGTGGCACGCAGGGCGCAACGAAGAAAAAGGCAAGAAGAGCCCAAGGCCCCAAGCAACATCGTGGCGTCGCGGTCGCGGCTCGCAGCTCGGAGGCTCGGAAACATGTTGCAGTGCTCAAAAGGATGGGGCATGAGCGATCACTTTGTTCTAAACCGACAGAGCCTCACCCAATATGATACATGATACCAGACATAATAACTACCTACTCTGTACATGAGCCCTTGAATCGTCTGTGGCTAGTACTTGGCCAATCTCGGTCGCCGCGGTCAATAGCCAGCCGATGTCACGCTTCGAATCAGGATATCAGCCCACGCGGATGTTAAGGACCTTGACATTGAGATGCGCTCCCAGACCATCCATCCTTCAATCATTGATGGCTGCGGCGTGTCATTCCACGCAAGGCACCGTGGCCGGGCCAAGTAATGCATCTATTCAGAGTGCTCGGTTGTACCTCTTGACGTCGGATGTCCGAGTCCAACCAGATATCTGCTGGGGGTCTTGGGCAACCCTGCCTGTTGACAAGTCTTCAGCGTGTGCTAAAGATAATGGCCCTAATAATGGTGTCAGCATGGTTGCCTCAAACCCAACAGCCTTTTTTTCTTCTTTTTTTTTTGGGCGGTGGCGGCGGCGTAGTCCCAAGTAAAGCTATCGTGATCTTTACGTTTTGCACCATCACATTAGGGTTGCGCTACCAAGTGCTCCTCCGTCTGCACCGCGCTGACAACCACCTTAAGAAAGCCATGTCATGAACAAACAGTCAAATACCAAAGAAGTGGCCATCATATCCCCTCCCAAATACGTAGGTGAGGCGCGCGAAATGTATGATAAGAAGCAAACAATGATGGGCGCCGCTGGGCTGAGTACCCAAGTAGCGGAATTCCCAGTCCAAGTAGTCTCGAGCCGAACCTGGGCCTGTCTGTGCCTGTCTGTGCCTCGTCTGCTATGTTTGGCATAAAAATTAGTGCGTGCAGGAGAGGGGCAACATCTAGGCTAAGAGAAGGGGACTTGAAAAAAAATAAAAAAAATAAAAAATCAAAAACTAACCCCACCACCACTAGTTACTTCCTCTTCCCCAAGTCAAGTGTCCTCTCAAGAACACCAGTTAGCGATCCACATCCTCCCCTCCTGGCCACTCCCATCTTCTACGCTCATCTCCACTTGGATTTTTTCTCTTTGCACCACCTCCTCATCCAGTATCCCATAGTAATTACGGCCTCGAGTCTACCAAACCGCCATCATGCTTATTTTCAAGGTACGTCACTCGATCCAATAATCTCGTCGCATCTGAAATCCCACGGCCAGAAGCGCTCAAAAATCCACCAACAACAAGAGTAGGCGTCCTTTGCTGCGGCTACCCCGCCACTCTGCCCTACACTGTCTCCGACTTGCGAAACATTACCATTCATCATGCTGACGGCGCAATCTCGATAGGACCTCCTCACTGATGACGAGATCATCTCCGACTCCTATGACCTCAAGGAGGTCGACGGCATCGTCTACGAGGCCGACTGTGCCATGATTACTGAGGAGGCTGTCAATGTCGGTATGTCTGATCTACTTTTTTCAACCCCGCCGCCAGCCGCCTACCGCCCACCCCTCGTCTCTCGACCAAAACAACCACCATCACTGTCAATCTCACAGTGACCTGGTCATCCGCGACGATAGCTGCAGACAACCCCCGCCCCTCCTACGCAACATCAGCTGTCGGCATATGCTCCCTTGGCTCCGGCTTGTCCAATTGCCAGCTTGGTCTTTGCCATTCACTCTTCGGGCTGTACTCCATGTTTCTTAATTCATCTTCATAGAAAGAGCGTCTTGATGCTAACAAACCCCACTTGATAGACACTGGTGCCAATGCTTCCGCTGAGGAGGCTGATGACGCCCTTGATGACGCTGCCGTCAAGGTCAACAACATTGTCCACTCTTTCCGTCTCCAAAGCACCTCCTTCGACAAGAAGGGCTATCTCGCCTACCTTAAGGGTAAGTACATGCGACTTGATGTTTACCGAACGCCCCTCGACATGTCGCTGTTAAGAGTCGCAATGAATGATGCTGATGATGCACCCCACAGGCTACATGAAGGCTGTCAAGAATGCCCTTCAGGAGCGCAATGCTTCTGCTGATGAGATCACCGCCTTCGAGAAGGGCGCCCAGGCCTATGTCAAGGAGAAGCTCTTGCCCAACTTCAAGGACTTTGAGTTCTACACTGGCGAGTCCATGAACCCCGATGGCCTGTAAGTACTAGCTAGCCTTTACTCATCTCGCTGCGTGGCGTCCTACTCGGTCGTGCTTGGATAGAAAAGCCAAAAGCCAAGGTTTGCTAATCATTATGCCAGTGTGGTTCTCCTCAACTACCGCGAGGACGGTGTTACCCCCTACGTCGTTGTCTGGAAGCACGGTCTCAAGGAGATGAAGGTCTAAGCGAAATTTGATCTGATGATGATCTGCATATGAAGTTTGATGTATGAGGGCTATGATTTAGAAAAACAAAAGCTATTGTAGTGCGTCTTTTTCAGCGCCTGGCGTATGTCGCCGCATTTATAGCAGGAATATGAAAAAACAACACAGATGATGAATCGCTAGCATCCCGTTCTTTTGCTTGGGCCAAGTGACTCTGAAGAAGATGCTCGTGTTGCATATTCTTGAGGAACATTCATTTCTGTTTCACCCGACATGTTGCTTTGAGACTCCGAACCCCTTACTTCGAACCTGACCATGACTCAAAATGCACACCCACGAAAAAGCATTAGGGAGGAACGCCGATATGCGATGCTCTGTACACAGAAATTTTTGGGTAACACGACTAGCCTCTCAAAGATGGCAAAGTCCTTAGAATTGTGGCCTCGTAGACATTGGGATGGGAGGAGGCACATCTCCATGGGAAGCGGATGGAGGGTCCGGAGCAGCAGCAGCAGCAGCAGCAGCAGCAGCAGCAGCGAGAGCTGGTTTCTTTTTAGGCGGCGGCGGCGGCTTCTTCTTGCCAGCCAATCCCGAGACCGCCGCTTGAGCAGCATCATTCGTGGCACCAATATATGGCTGGCTCGGACCAGGTAGCGGCGGCGGCTCGGATTTGTTCTGTGCCGGCTGTGTAGATTGCGAGCCTGCGTACGCACCAAGCTTGTCCGCGATGCCGTGCTTTTGACTAAAGTTGTTGGCGGCCCTGGTGCCCGCGGCAACTTGTTCCCCATGGCGCTGTCGAAAGTTGTTGGCCGTACTGGCCGCGGCCTTGGCATCGGAGAAGGAGACGGACGAGGGATCCTTTTGGAAGGCCGACGCCGTCTTGAGAGCCGCTTGCTTCTGAGCCCACGAGGTGCCTTGGCTGGGCGGCGGCTCCTGGGCAGAGGGTGCCGCTGATGGGGTGGCCATTTTGGCGAAACGGTCTTGGAGCTGGTTGACTTGGGCGCCCCATTTCCCGGCTCCTGATCCAGCTCCAGCTTCGGCCGAAGGTGAAGCTCGTGACGACGCGGGCGGGGGACTTGGTGAGGTTGAATGGGCGGCGCCGCCACGGTCAATTCCCAACGCTGGAACAGACACGCCCGCTGCGCCGAGCCGGCTCACAGCTCCCTCGTTGAGCTGGCCGTTCTTCTCGCCCCCTCCGGCGGCACCTCTCGGAGGCAGTCGAGGCGGCAAACTAGGCGGCAGTGCCTTTGAGACGGCCGGCCCCGAAGTAGCTTCGTCGTATGAGGGCGGACTCCTTCCGTCGACGCCGTCCCGCGTCGGCGAGGCCTCGCCACTCTCCCGGCCCGTCCCCGTACCCCTCGGCGGCAGTTCAACCGGCCCAGCTCTGGGATCGGCGTATTTGGACGGTGCCGCAACAACCTTGCGCTTGGTCGAGACTGGTTTCGGAGCGGGCGCAAGACCGGAACCTGTTCGTTTGGGCGGCGGTGCAAAGGACGCCGGGTCCTTGAGGTTGGTCAGTGGACGGGCAACGTGATTTGAGCTGCTGTCTTTGTTATCCTTGTTGCGGCCCATGAGGCCAGACTGGTCGACAGCAACAGATCTTGTCAGCAAATACGTGCTTAGATGGGTATCGATGCGAGGAGGTCGTAGTAGAAGTAGGCCAAGGCCATGTACGCACCACTGAGCCCCTGATTCCGGTTCCCGACTTCTCCGGATGCCACCCGTTCTTCATGATGTCCTTGAACTGGGACATGTTTGAGAGCCTATGCGAGTGCGCGCTAGATTGAAAGTTTGGTTTTCTATTCTTTGGCGTCGTAAAATGCTATGAGCTTAGGAACATTGCAACGAAGGAGAGGGAGTGAGATGAGGTCATGAGGGGAGGAGGCGTTGACGGTGATGGCGCAACGAGTTGCCGGTGCCAACCTCAGATCCCAAAAGTGTACACGAGCTTGTGTGCGAAGCGGGTGACGTAGGGGTCCGAGGCCGCGTGCGTGGGGGCTTTCCGACAGGTCGGTGTGCGGGACCTGATGCATCTCGTCGCGCCGCATGTCCGAGGTTGGTTCCGTGCAACACCAACACCACATGCCATTGCTGGATATTTTTTTTCTCTGTCCGTTCCTTCAAATACAACACAAATCATGATTGCCTCCTAACCCGTGCCATAACGCCGCCTTGACACACCGCCTACACCGCGCCCTCGTTCGGCGCCGCAGTGCAGCACGCGTTGAAGTCGTGTGCCGCTCGACTACAACCCATCATGGCCGCCAACGGGTCGGATTACGAGCTCCTCACAGAGCACTTTAGCTACCCGCCAGTGGTGCGTACACCCGATCTCCCCCCCAATCATCCCCAGGTCACCCACTTACTCAACCCGCCCAGGCCCTCCTCGACGACATCATCAACACCATCAACGTGCTCGCCGACCGCGCTCTCGACTCGGTCGAACGCCTCCTCCTCACCATCCCCCCCCAAAACCTGGGCTTCAAAGCGCCCAAGCCCAAGCCAACAGACCCCGACGCAGCCCAAACCGCCCTGGACGCAGCCAAGCTCGAGATCGAAAACGGCACCCACCAGCTCGAAACCCTCCTCAACGCCGCCATTGACAGAAACTTTGACATTTTCGAACTCTACACCATGCAAAACATCCTGACAGTCAAGCCCCAAGACCAGCCATTCATGCGCCTATCGCACTACGACGGCCTCGACCTGTCAAGCAGCCCCGACAACCCAACAGTGGAGAGCGTCACCGCCCTCAGACGCAGGCTGCACGCCAGCCAGAAACTGCACCTATCTCTCGAGGCGGAGAGGGCGAGAAACGACGCACTACTACGTAAATTGAAGCGCGTGCTGGGCGTCTCCACCAAGCAGGACGCTGTAAAGGGGGAAGAAAAAGAGGAGGAAGAAAAAGGGAGTACTCTTGAAGTGGACGAGAAACAGCTCGGGTTCCTGCGTGAAAAGGCGACGCTCGAGCAAGGCGGGTCGAATAAACCGATTACTACGACTACGGAATTCACACTGTCGCAGTTGAACTCTCTGCGGTCGCTGTCGGAATCTCTTAGGCGGCTGCTGCCGGAACTAGGAAGTGCGCAGACGGGGGAAGACGCAGAGGCGGCCGACAAGTCGTGGCGTCGCGAGCGAGCAGAGTATATTGAGGGCGCAACGCGCAAGTATCTCGAACGGTCGGGCGCGTTGGAACTCGGCCCGCACGGGGAGGTGCGCGACGGGGAGTGGCACGGCGGGGGGAGGTCGTTGACGAGAGGCGAGGTGCAAGGCTTGGAGAATATTGCCTCCCTCTTGGCAAATGAGGGGCCAGGGTCGAAAGAGGACGACAAGACCGTGGATGAGCCTTGACGCTGTTGCTCATCTTCCTGTGTTTCCCTTTTCTATACCAAGAGACTTGTGACTTATGATGGGGGTACCAGGGTGAGCGGTTCATCAATGAGCATTCCCTTAAAGGAGGAGGAAAGGGAGGTGATATACATCTTTATTTACAAGTGTTTACATGTATCCATCGTACATAATATTGTACACCACACATCACACATGGCCAAGACTACCCCTCTGCCCCAGACGGTGTGATACAAAAGCTTCACCCGCGCAGCTGACTCTCCAGAACAGCCGGCACATCCTGCCAGTTGATCAACCCATTCTCCCTTGCCAAATACCAGAAATGATGCCTCCAATACCGCGTGTCCCTGCCAAACGAGCCCTCTGCCGCCGCACTCTTGAGCTTGTGATCCAGCACCACACCCACCACTTGCCTCGCGTCCTGTACGGCCTCGGCATCCTCTGATGCCAGAAGAGCCTTGAGCAGATCGGTCAAGCAGGGCAGCGAGGTGACGGGCCGTCCTGCACGCGCAAGGTCGTGAAACACCGCCATTGCAGAGGCCTTGTCCCCCGTGACGGCGTGGGCGCTCATCACCCGCTCCCACAGCGTCTGATCGCCCTGCGTGACACTAGACAGGCCGTGTTCCTTGAGAAGGGCGCGGACGGTCGCGCCCGCATCAGGAGGCAAGGGGTCTCGGGAAAGGGTCCGCTCGATGAGAATCGTCACCATGTGCGGCGTGGCTGACAGCCCGGCGGCTTTCATGTGGTCCTGCACGGCGGCAATGGCTTCGTCCGCACCGCCCTTGGCAAGCAACGCGATGGCATACAGCATCTTGCCGTACGTTTCAAGATTTGCCCTCAATCCCGCTGCTTCAATGTCTCCGAGAATCTGGCTCACGACGTGGACTTGCTCGGCTGCGGATGCGTTGTCCATGGAGCCGAGCAGTCCCTCGAGGAGAATCGTAAACGTAGCCGCGTCGGGCTCGACGCCCCGTTTCCTCATGGCCCTCAGCAGACTCTGCACATCCTCGGGGGCGCTGTTGCGGAGACTCTCCCTCAGAAGAATGTTGTATGTCCGGATGTTGGGCTCGATGCCTTCCCTCCCAGCCCAGTAGAGCACCTCGTTTGCTGCGCGTCGATCCAGGCCAATGAGGCCCTTGAAGGCGGCATTGACGACTTCTGTGTTGGGCTGGACGGCTACATTGGCCGCGCTTTCGACGCTGCCTCTGCTGGCAACTGCTTTCTTCCAGAGACTTTGCATCTCGGCGAGTGCCTGGATGCCGGACTGCGGCTTGCCGGCCTCAATAAGACCCGAGATGCGCTCGGTCCATATGACGGCGTCGAGTCTCAGCCCTGATTCGACCAGCTTATTCCAAAGGGCTTCAATGCGGTCTGCGTCTTTGCACATTTTCCACCCGTGCATCATGTTCGTATATGATCGCACCGTAGGCTGGATGCCGACTTCACGCATGACATCCAATGTCTCTTGCAGCTTCTGGGGTCGTCTTACGGCACACCAGACAAATATCCAAAAATCGAGAAAGTCTGGGTCCTCGCTCATTTGCCGGCGCAGATCTTGATCTTGATTTAGACTGGCATTGAGATCCTGCCAGATGGATACAATAGCACCGGTGTTGCGAGATCGATAGGCGTCACGGAGCTGCTTGTGGAAAACTGACAGGCGCGAAAACTCACTCGACGAGCGGGATGGCTTGTGAGACGACGTCGTGCTTTTTCGCCATTCCGAGTCAGGCCTCAGAACCATGTCTCTAGCCTGCGGCCACTGTGCTAGCACGTAGGACTGCAAATCGGCCAGTTTTGAAGACGGGAATCTGACTTTGCCGGCAAAGATGTCATTGACATAGGCGGCGTCTGCGGGCTGGTGGTTCAATACGGTGGAAACGAGATTCAACAGTGGTGCTGCCTTGATTTGGCTTCCATCTCTCGCTAAACGCGGGTCCGAAAGCGCAGCAAGGGTGGCCAATAGACCCGACACAAGTTCACGAGCTTGCTCGAATTGGAATTGAATAAAAATACTCGCCAGGGCTTTTGTCGTGAGTGCCATGTTTGAAGACTTCGCCTCGCCTGATTCAGTCTGCTTTGTCAAAGATGCTGAAGAGCTTGAAATATCCTCGATGATCTCGTCCTCGGACGGCAAAACGAAACAGAGCCGGCCATTGTGCAACTGGCTCATCCTCCGTAATTGCGAAATATGCTTCCACATGTCCAATAGCTCATCAACGAGGGCATTCCGCTCCGCCGAAGTATGCTTCTTGCTGATTAATGTGTGGCACAGATTCAAAACGAGCTGGTTCCGCATGTCTAGATCCCACTTCCCAATTGTGGCACACATTTTCGAAAGAGCGACACTGGCGCCAGTGAGACCTTGTTGAACAACCGCGTCGAATGTGCGCGCCAAGAAATTCGTGGTTGCAAGGTAGAGGTGTTTTGGGATCTGACCACGAAGTTCCTTAACATGTGGCCATATGTCGTTCTGGAAGAGACGCAATCTCTCGAGGGGTTCAATATCCTTTTCCTCCAGCTCCTTCATTTTGGCGGCAACCTCCCATTCTCCAAGCACAGTAGATGCGGAAGAGTGGCGAGAAGTAGGTCGGGCAGGGAGCTCTCTGGGAGCAGCGGCCTCGGATTTTTGAACCACATCGTGGAACAGAGCTACAGCCGCAGAGGCGTCCTTGTTCCGTCTTGGCTGCCTCCTCGAAGATGCTGACGCTTTCTGAGAGAATGAAGGCTGTCGAGGATTGCCATTCTTAGAAATGGTCCCTTCACTGGTTTGTCTAAAGCTGTGGGGAGTTGAGCTCGAGCTCGGAGCCTGATGTGAAGCCGCCGAGGCCGTTGATGAGAACCACGCGATAGCCCCAGTCCCAGCTCCAGACGCCGATCTGTACGTCGGTGGCACAGCGGCACGCACACGAGAGGCGCATTGCGAACATATAGTCCTTGATGCGTACATGGCGAATGCGGGCGCGCGAATTGCCCACGAATTGCCCACGAATTGTGGCCCGGCATAGGAGATGTTTCAAGGTCGAGGGAAGCTCTTGGCGTGAACTTTTTCGAGGGGTGTGGTTGGCGACAGGGATGCGGGTCCACTTGGCCAATGAATGGAGACTGCGTTTCATGGCAATTTAGTCTCGCTGCGAATACAGACATGATTGGTGATGGGTTCATCATCGCAGGCAAAGTTTCCGTCTCGATGGACGTGCATGTGCACCAACTCCCTGACATGCGAAGTACATCTCTAGGTTATCATGGCCTCCCCGCGAGTATTGCGTCAACCACATAATATAGCACTAGCACATCATCTCGCCCCTACAACGAGGCCTCAAACTTGCCATCAATAGCCTCAATCTTCTCCACGCTCCTCTTATACCCCTCCTCCGACTCCAACACCTTGACATACTCTGCAACCCTGGGATACGCCTTCTCCCACGACCCGCCCTCGAAGTAACCCAGCTCATCAAACCGGCTAGACCCAGCAATCACAGGGAAGCTCATGAGTATGTCCGCGGCGGTCAGCTTATCGCCGCACAGGTACTTGCCGCCCGAAGTGGCGAGCTGCTGGTCGAGAAAGGCAAGGTGTTTATTGACATTCGGGAAGACAAACATGGCGATGACGCGGTTGGCAATGATGGACGTGATGGGGCGCACGAGGAAAGGAACCTGAGGAGACTTGAGGCCTATTCCGAGACCCAGTTAGTTAGCCGCGAATTGAACCGTGAACAATCCCGCGCCATCGGCTGGCATATCATCATGAACAGTAAAAAAGAAAAAGAAAGAAAATACTCACGAGACATCACCAGCGCAAGAACCAAGTACGGCATCAAGCTCCCCTCTGCATAATGCATATAATAACCATAGCGCAACCACTCCTCCGTCTCGCCGCCAATGGTGCCCTCCTTGCCATCCTGCCACTGCTTGGGCATCAGCTTCTTTCCATCGGGCACGTGGTCCACGAGATACTGCGTCATGAATCCGCTCTCGGCCAGAACAATAGGCTTGCTTGCATCGCCGCCCGGGGGCACGATTGCAATCACGGGCGATTTACCCAGTGGGTGAATCTGTTCGAGCTCCTTGGGCGCGAGGAGTGTTTCCTTGTCGCGGTGGAAGACTTCGATTTCGTAGGGGACCTTGAGTTCCTCGAGGAGCCATATTATGCGCTGCGAGCGCGAATGGTTGAGCCTTTGTGTTGGGTCAGTCGAGTGAGCATGTGATTAATCAGTTTCAGCAAGACTTGGGTGCATGAGAGAAGAAGAGCGTGGTGACCAGACAAATGACGAGAAAGAAGCAATAGAGTTTGGTGTGTCAATTTTTGGGCAGCATAATCATACCAGTACAGCTTAATCTTGGGTGAATTGTCGGCCATGATGATGGTAAATCATTGAAGGATGATCAATTCAATCCGGCGCCAACAAAAAGCATTATGCGAAGACGCTTAAATATAATGGCCGATGCCAACTCTCTCCACCACGGCAGGCGATCCATGGTCCATGGTCGATGATGCACTTCCTACGCACCTAGCTCAGCTCAGGCACCGCATTTCATTGACCCCATCAGCCCGTCAAGTCCCACGAGTATTTGCTAGCTTAGCTGCCATGCTCGGGCGTCCAGGATGCGCGCTGCAGCCTCGGCCCACGGTGGCGCACAAGATCGTAGCAGACGTTCCAACTGCGGCGTCACCCGTTATGCCATCCATCGCTTTCGCTTTCGCACCCGTTTCCGACCGACCGACAGACCGACCATCCTCAGCCTCGTCCAAATATCCCGCATTACATACATTTGGAACATCTAATAAATACCATCGCCAGCATCAATCCAGCCGCTGGCCTGTCTATACGCCTGATCACTCCACATCATCCGAATTCAATGTCCAACATGATACACTGCATTCTACACGGCACCATATACCGCGGGTAAACTAAAATTCGTCTTCGCGCATTCATTCATGACTTGATGTCACTATCGTCTACCTTTCCTAGCCTGACCGACTGCGCTCCTGAAAAAGACTTCTATGCCCGCCTACCAGCCCCTACCCAAGGCATCTATCTATGTTCGTCTATACCAAAATATTGACCACATCTTGTCCAAAAAACGAAACCTTCCAATCACAAAAATAAGATCATCGCTGTTTAAGAAAAAAAGCAGAGCATACATGAACAACATTTAGTGCTCCCGTTCCCAAAAAGAGTAATCTCCATTTCCGTCTGCGATTCACCTCGGACCTGTCAACCTCTGGAGAAAAATCGAAGCTCCGGTTTACCATACTGATTAATCCAAGTGCTTTATAGCCGCCTAGCCTCGCCGCCGAGTCTTGGCTGCACCTCGACCCGCCGCCTCGGTTTGTGCCTCCCTCTTCTTAGTTTGCTTCCTAGCTCTTGGCGGCGGCGGAGGGTCTGAATGGATGTGACCTAGCTCCTCAAGCGCCATTGTATTTTCCCATTGCAGGCAACGGTAGGTAGGTGGCTCTGGTGTCTTCTCTCGGATGCGTGAGCTGCTTCTCTTCGTCACAGCCTCGTCCTTTTTGTCCTTATCCTCGTCACTTGCCAGGTACTTCTTTCTGTTTTCCATATGCTTGGCAATTTTTTCCTTGTAGTTGATGAGCTCCTTGCGTAGCTTCAGCTCGTTGGAGCCCCGAGGGTCTAGCCATTTAATGAGTGCATGCAAATCTTCAGGCTCTGAGATGTAGCCCCATTGTCTGGCCGTGAAAACGCTGGTTCCATTCTCCTCCCTAGCTTTGCGCTCCGACACCGTCATTTTGAACTTGGCCTTGTATTCGTTTTGCAAGTCTGGAGGTCCGTCGATGTACCCCTCGCGTTCCATGTCATCAGGTCCCTGGACCCAAATGCACCCGTTGGCATATTCGGCTGCTGCTGTTGAGCTTGTTGGCAACCCGCCATAAGGCATTCCGTTTCTTTCAAACCAGTAATATCGGTTCCAGAAGCGGTCCTTGCCCAAGACTCTTGTACGTGGGCAGTCCGCTTCGCGCAGATCGTTTTCGATAACTGCCACCTCATCTTCGCATTCTTTGATGATGTCCTCCTTCTTTTGTATCTCCTTCAGAATCTTATTGTACTGCTTCTGTTGTTGAGGAGTTAGATTGATCAATTTCCGCGTCTTTTCTTTTTCTTTCTCCGCCGCCTTCTCCCTCTCCTTCGCTTTTTCTTTTTCCTTTTCTTTCTTCTCCTTTTCGGGTTCTGCATCTTTCTGCTTCTTCTTGTCCGCCGGTGCACGACCCCGTCGTTTACCCTTTGGCTGGCTGGGCTCGTCGTTACCTTCTTCTGCATCTTCTTTGTCGATCTGGGACTCGTCAGCGTCAGCCATCTTGACATCCTCTTCTTCCTTCACAACATTAGCATCAACTCCTTCATAAGGATCCGGGTCGGGTACAAGCTCTCTGCGTTGTTCGTGCAGTTGGCGAACATCTTCGATACTATGGAACAGTCAAGTCAGCCTCTAGTTCAGGGGTATGCTTCGCATCGTGTGCAAAATTCACAAGAACTTACGCTTGCTTCTTCTGTCGTTGCCATTCGATCCTGTCCTTGCGATACTTGGTCATTGTCTCACTGCAGTCTTCCATATAGCCGCGGACAGCTTTTGTCTCCATCGTAAGCAGACATATGATCTGCAAGGCCTTAACGCGATAGTTGACGTCGAGCTCAGCATAGCTCCGTCGAATGACTTCTGGTGTAGGATTTGAGTCTGCCGGAACTAGCTGCTCGAGCAACTCCTCACAAGATTCCTTGTAGCGATCGTCTTTGGATAACTGGTGCAACAATCCAACCATAATCCTCTCCCATCCGCCGTTAGAGAAATTGCGCTTCCGAAGGTGATCTATCCAATCAAATTCCCTCATCAATTCTTCGGCTCGATTGCGCGATTCCTGCTCTGCTCGAATTTCTTCCTTTTCGGCGGCAGCAGCTTCTGCTGCTAACCTTTCGGCCTCTAGTTTGGCGAGACTGCTGCGAGTGGCGCGACCCTTTGGCTTCTCTTCAGGCTCAGCGGCTGCCTCCTCCCCTTCGTCTGCTTCATCATCTTCTTCCTCGCCTTCTTCTTCGTCGCTGTGGTCGTCTGCTAGTTCCGGTAAGTTGATGCGAACTTTACCTCCTTCGCGTTCCGAGTCGACTAGTACTTTCAGCACAGAGCAGTGAATCTCGTCGAATAACTGAACCTTAACTTGTTCGGAAGCCACAGACATAGTCTCGACAAAGTCGTCAAATGTAAAAGAGTCGAGCTGGAAAATCTCGCAATACACATTAAGGGTGTCCCAGGTTTCTAGGAATGCACCGACTGTGGCCATGTCGATTTTGTCGAAGAAGGGCCTAGATTCGTCGATCTCGGGCTCAATCTTGACCGGAGGATCGTGACACATGAATTTGAGACGGGGACGAACGCTGCCTTCTTTGGGCGGCAGTGATAGGTCTTCAATAGGATACTTGGTAGGGGGAGGAGGAGGCGGCGGTGTGGGTTCACGTATCGTAGCCCTTTGTTGCTCATGTTGTATTAGCCCATTAACGCCATTGACAGGCTCATTGAGAGGCCACTTAAGCCCCTTGATACCGAATTGACTTTGCTTCCCCTTATGATGCTTTGTAGCGGGCTTCAATTCCGGGAGTCGCATCGGTCCGGCATTTGAAACACCGTTCATTTCACTTGTGATACCCCGTTTTTGGGCCTGGAGTTGTTTCCGTTCTAGCAGCTTTGTATCGTGTCGAAGCTGAGGGGGGACTCTGGTATCAATGTGATATATATTAGCGTAGTCATGCTTGACTAGCCATGGCGCCCCTGTCCATGCTTCTCTGATAACCGTCTTCTTGATGAACGAGCGTAGCATAGCCTTGGTGAAAACACCACGATCGCGACAGATGTGCTCATCGGTAACGATGGTTTCTTTGTCGGAGTCTTTGATATTGACGAGGTAGCGTGTCACAGGTAGTGTCCGGGCGCCGTCAGGTAATATCCTTGGGCCGAAGGTGGTCTTGTCCCGAACGAGGCCGTGAATCCTATCACCACCGTCCAAGGTTACCGTCACCTCTTCTCCTGGGTAATAATCGTGCTTAAACTCGTCGTAGATTAAATCAACAAGATTGTCCAGACGAGAAATGGTTTGGAACTGGACTTTGCGGAGAATCGGGCCTTTGAGTGCTTCAGGAAACGAAGCTTCGACTTCGCGACCGCCGGTAAGCTGCGCGACAAGAGAAAAAAAGTGAGCAGCTACTTTCTTTTGACAATGCATTTTGGAGAATGGGTAAAAATCGAACCTCACTGTTGAAAGCCTCAAAAAAGGTGAGGCCAGAGTGGCCTGTTATTTGATCGTTGAATCGACGCTAAACACTGGTGTAAGAAACGACACAGCGCATTCACGTAAACGATGGGTACGGAATATATAATACCTGTTTGTAAAAATCCATACTGGCGGCGAAGAATTCTCAGCACACAAATACTTCCCATGATACGAGAGACCAGCAAAGGAGCGCATGCCAGCGCAGAAAACCAGATGCGCGAGGCCAAACTTACCGGCTTAGATAGTCCTCATAGCTCAGGAAGAGCTCTCCGGTCTGGGGAATGTGCCATACCTGGATCAGTCAGTCATGTAAGGTTTCCTTTTAGTCCGAGCCGGTTGGCGACCAAAGCCAAGCCCGGTACATACTTCTGCATTTTCGTCTTGAATATCTGCCGGCGGCAGGAACTGCACCGGTTTACGTTTAAAGAGAACCTGTAAGGGTGTGTCAGTGGTGGTTGGAATTTCTGGGAAATATAAAGGAACTCGATATCTCTCGTAGGGCTGGTCATTACCATGGTGACAAGGAAGAGTGAAGCTCCGCGTGGCGGAGTAGAGACAAATGCTTCTCCAGGGCCAGAAGCTATACAAGCAGATACCCCTTGCCAACAACTACGCAAGATACGAAACGAATGCTAAAGGAGCATTCGAAGGCAGGTGGTGTGATGTTGCGGGCGCGGAGGTCCGGTTGAAAGCAGAAGAGTGAGAGAGCCGAGACTGAGTAGTTTTGGCGTTGTCGGTCCCGGAGGGAATTTGACGATGTAGACTTACACGCAGGTGCCGTGGCGCGCGAGTCAATATATATACGAGGCTCAAGGTAATTATATCAAGCACAAGTAAGTTGAATAGCGTTGCTGTGCGCGTCCAAAAGGGTTGGCGGCGTGCGACGATCCGGAAGATGGAAAAAGCTGCAAAGAAGAAAACGCGCGAGTCTTGTTGACGTGCAACGTAGAAGGAGAAAAAGAATTAGGTGAGCCAAGCGGGAGGTGAAGGGAACCCAGCCAAGCAGGAGCAAGCAGCAAAAAAACTGTGGGGGGTGTGCGGTCGAGGAAGAAGGCCAGTTGACCATTTGTCTGGGATTGGATCACTTAAGTCTGAAAGGAAAGAGCTAAGGAGACTCGAGGAGCAAGGAAGACAAGTACGGAGAAGTGATTGAAGAAAGGCAGGAGGAACCCAGGACACAGAAAAGTAGAACCGTTCGGACACCAGCGGCAGGCCAGTGACGGCGCGTGCAAGTAGCCGCCAGCGAGGACACCCATGTGGATAAGGTTCCTTAACGGGTCATGCGCAGCGAAAAGGTACCTCGACATAGATTGGAGCGCGTCGCGGGGGTACATGTGAGCCGTGAACCTCCCACTCCCCTCCCTTGCACCGCTTCCAAGTCCAGCTCCTACGCTGAGAGCCGCACCGCCAATATCGAGATTACCGGGAAGGTTTCCTGCCAGGTTGCTGACGTTTACAGAGTCCGTCAGACTCTTACTGACGCCAAATGCGAGTGTGCCTGCCACTTTGGGGATATCCAACGGGGACCCAGGAGGCGGCGGTGCAAAGGAAGTAACATTGGCGAGCTTCAAGCCAAGAGCTGCTCCGTTGCCAATGCCACTGCCAACGTCCAATGCAGCCGCTCCAAAATCTATCGGTGGCAACATGGACGCCAAGTTTTTTGCGCTGACATTGATGTTGTCTGTAAAAGAATTGCTGAGACCAAAACCAAAAGTGCCGGCGATGCCGGGAATATCGGCCAGAGACTTGGGCGGAGGAGGAGCAAGATTCTTGTTCTGCGCAACAAGCTTCAACCCGGCTGCGGCACCGCCTCCGAGTCCCGTTCCCAAGTTGAGAACAGTACCGCCAATGTCCAAGTTGGATGGAACCAAATTGTTCAGATTTCCAGTATCAAGGGAGCCGGTCAGACCTTGGCTTACACCAAAGGCAAGCGTGCCTGCGAGACGGGGAATGTCCGTCCCAGATGCAGGCGGCGGAGGCGCGATTTCAGTATTATTTGTGAGCTTTAGTCCTACGGCGGCTCCTTTTCCAATTCCGGTTCCAAAATCTGCCACTGTAGCTCCAACGTCGATAGGCGGGAGGAACGACGCCAACCCACGGGTTCCGTTCAAGCTCGAGGTCAACGCCTGGCTCGCCCCAAAGCCAAAACCTCCGACCGCATCCTCGAGATTTGTCCCGTTCAATGGTGGCCCAGAGTTCTTTTGTGAGAGACCCAGGCCCATGGCGGCTCCGTTCCCTATTCCCGATCCAAGTGATGTTCCCAGGCCACCAAGAGGCGGCATTTTCAAGAGTTTGCTGCCCATGAAAGCTTTTACAGCTGTTGCTGTAAGTCCCTTGGCCGCGTTCTGAATGATTGGGTTCAGTCCTGTATTCTTCATGCCATTTTCTGCAGCCACTTGCTGACCAGTACTCTTGGTCCTTGATGCAGGAGCCAGCGAGAGACCTTGGGCTGCTCCCTCACCAGCACCTACACCTCCAAAGAAACCTGCCCCGGCAAGGCCATCTCCAGTCTTGGAGAGAAGATTCCCAAAGATGCCGCTTATAGCATTCGAGATAAGACCTCCCCCCCTGCCACCGGCACCGTTCCCTCCTCCCCCGCCGCCCAACAAGTTCCCCAGCAATCCGCCGCCGCCGCCGGTGGCTTTGGAGTCTCCAGTGGTGTTGTCTATTCCATTCTCATTTTGATTGCCGGTATCCGCCTTGCCTCTGTTCCCGCCCCTGTTGCCTCCCAAAAACCCAGAAAGCAGTCCTCCCAACAGCCCCGCCCTCTTATTCAAATCGGGGGTAGTTGTTCTCTTGAGTTCCAGTCGGTATGGCTCATCCGTATTGGCATTCACATTGCGAAGATGGGCATCCAAGTCATCGGCTAGAATGGTGAGCTCGGAGACGCCGTAACGCCCTGCTGCCTCCCTGGACGTGTCGCTTAACATGCTAACGAGAGCCATGTACGTGTGCCGTAGCTGAGAGTCTTCCACAATTGCCCGTACCGTTTCCATGGACATGATATTGTGCAAGCTCGGCGCCTGCGGCTTCACGTCGTCATCATCCCCGTCGCTCGACCCAAGCACATGTTCGACCTCCGCCAAAGCCGGGTATATTACACTGAAGATAATAAACGCAAAAAGAAATAGCTGGCTCCATCGGCAGTTCAAGTATTGACCCATTATGCAATGAGGCAAATGCCAGTGCCCATGAGTCGAATATTACAAGGTTTTATAAATCAAGTGGGATAGGAACTCCAACGATGACCTGTCGACCCGCGACGAACAACAGGATGCTTGAGCCCAGTCCGATGACGAAGCGCAATCAGTCCCCATGGCAAGTCGGCATGTCGGGTCCGGATGGGGCGCCCTTAATGAATAAGTCTTGAACATGGAGCGCATAGTTTCCACCCAGGCCCGGAGTACAATGGGTTTGCGTTTGAGGACGACGCTGCCCAACTATCCCCACATCTCGCCGGAGAGAAATACACATAAAACCTCTCAAGACTCTGTTCTACAATGTGAATCGCTTTGATCTGCTGCATGGTTGCAGGCGAGATTCGGCGTTCTCGTTTCCGCAATGGGGAGTCGCGGTGGAACTGTGTTTGGGATCTGTTTCCACAGAAGTCATCCCGTTGAGTGTCTGAGCGGAAAGGGGGTAAGCTTGCGATCGCCGCATTAACGGGATCATGCATCTCCCGTGGTCAAAGCCATAAATCGCATCATCAGAGTACATCCCTGCATGATGAACAGGTGGGATCGGTCAATCATCTCTCAGAGAGTCAAGATTCTGGGGTTCAAGCGAGGCAAAGTTGTTTATCCTGTTCTTTTGGGGTTTCAGCTATGCCCGAAAAGACCAACTATCGCTTATTCTTGAGTTTCAGACCGGGAGTCGAATTATCTATTTTAATCAGATAACCCATTTATTCACACCCGGAACGTTTGAAGTTGTTGAACCGACGGGGCGCTTTGCCCAATTGGGACATTTCAAACACGGCTCCAGGAACCCACGTCGTCCCGAATGTGTGATACTTGGGAGGTGGAATTTTGCTTCTGATTTTGTTATTCCTCGGAACAGGATGCTAATATGGCTAGGACGTTCTAGTCGCGACAGCCTATCAATATCGGCATCTCAACTAGCTCATCATCTCTCTTTCTGATTCCCCGTGGCAAATCAGTCAGCGATCCGCTAGTTTTGATGTTTGTGTCTTCAGGAAGACATTGTTCACAAACACAGAATACCAACTGTCTATTTTCTTGGAAGTCTATTATTGCTCTAGAAACACACACTCAAGCGGACTGCTTGTATAAAAGGATTTTGATGAAGCTACGTACTAGGTGTTTCAATGGGATAATGACTTGATTGAATGACTAAAACAGTATAGCGGTGTCAGTAAGGGTACACATCGCCCTATATCCCCTGCTAGTTGAAATGACATTGCAAGGGAAATGTTTTACTTTGGCTATAATAAAAGCCAAACATCTTTTTTTTTTGTGTTTATCAGACTGTCCGTAATAGCGGATAACGTACTACTTGTTTGCGATACATGCTACAGGGTATCTGCCTGGGCATTGCCAAGGACGCAGTCTATGAGGTGCCATTTCTCGATCATGTTGTATAGAAGTAGTCTATCCCCTTTCTGTGGAAAACCAGGAGATGTGTTCAGTCTTGCTATGGAGCACGAATAGTAGTCTCACCTAACCAATGTATTAACTCAAAATTTTTGGTAGGAGAGGGGTAAAGCACAAACTCTATTATATTATTCAAGGCAATATCTCCTTTGGAACTGACTCCCGGGACATAGGCACGAAACCGGATGGACATGCGGAAAGTTTCATGTTTGCCATATTGGCGAGTATTATATATGATGGTGTGCATGTCCAAAGTTTTGCGACCACCTCTCAGAGCAAGTGAGCATGTAGAAGCGTTAAGCTGTAACAGAAACCAGAATGAAAATGGCCATGGAATTATGTCTAATGGCCGTATCAGTCATCTTCATCTATCACGCGAGGATATTATGTAGATAGACTATAGCGCCGTCGGTTCGAATAGTTGACATTGTCTACCACTAATTGTCTACCACTAATATTGGAGTTCTTTTCTTGTGAATCAACCCCCGGCTTAGCTTTCCGAAGGGTTCACAGCGTCAATCGAAGACTATAATAAATTTCTGAACCGCATAAGTGTTAAGTAGAAACCTTAATGAGCGGCATTTATTCCCCGTGGGGTATTGTTCTCGAGAAATACAATCCAGGACAGTTTGAAGCACCAGAGCCCCTCATGAAGAGGCTGATTCTCTTTACAGACGCTCCGTTTTTGCGAGCAAGAGGATGGCACACGTTCTACTTCTACGGCAAAATTTCCTTCCGCTTTCACATGGTCCACTACTGGTGTGTACACCCACCCTTGTCACAGCCACAACGATAGGTGTCTGCATGGTTTCAGTTTGCGGCAGATGGAACCAGTAGTATGAACGATGTTTCGAACGATCCCAGCGTTGATCGAAGCCGCCCGCTTACGGGACTTCGACTGCCGTTTGAAAGATATGTCTCCACAAGCACAGATAATTTATTATAATGAGAAAGGTAGCATGACGTGCGATTCTAACGTCGCTCCCCAAATTCTCAGTGTTCAGCGATCAACGGTTTGTTTTCCAAGCAGACAACCCGGGAATCTGGCAAGTGCCCCTGCAGACAAAGCGACGGAACCATCTTAGTAACATCTTGGTCGAAGATAAGACCAGTTTTAGAGTTTCAGAATACCTTGAAAAAAAACCTTCAAAGGAAGCAACTGAAACTGAGGGAACCTATTCTTCGAGCAACATCCAACATATCTACTTCAAGAGGGTCAGACAACAAAACTTCACCAATCTCATTGCTGTTTGAATTTTCCCGTCTACATGGATATGTAGACGTCATAGGTCTAGCGATATTGCAGTATGACCCATCAAGTACAGGGTTTAGGTCGTCAAGGAAGATAGGAGTGTCTTTTTGTCCCCGCGGGAAGTGAGGCTTAGATACTGGTTGAAGGAATGTTCCCGGAAAGCAACTCTCCATGAGACATGTAAGCACTTTGTCTTCGCTCCCTTGATATAGCAGAATTGACCTCAATCTCGCTGGACTCGAAACCCCACGGCCGAATTAACGCAGATCGCCATCAACCCATCCGCCGGAGCCGTTCTTCAGCCCCCTCTTGTATGATTTCCACCAGAAATTAGCTTATAGTATAGTTTTCCAGTAGCTACTTGCTATTTACATCGGGGAGAATAGTATATCTGGGATCTCATAGCTGTCCGGGAAATGTCACAGAATTTGTAAAGTTCCTCTCCTCCATCCAGGGCTGCACGAAATTCTCTAATATCTAGATTCTAGATTCATATGGTTAGAGCTATGTGCGGCAGAGCCGGAACATGTGCATCAATTTGGTTGTCTTGACCTTCTAGACGGTTCAAGTCAACAGTATCTTTGAGATGCGCAGTAAGCCGTTGTAAATCTTGTGAAATGTCAATAACTATCCTTCCTCGTTTTCTTGTCGAGCCGGCATATCCAGCCCTTGTCATGGTAATCAGTTTCAGACCCTTGCTGCCGCAGGCCACGTCCGCTAGGGAAAGTCTTGTGTCTCCCGGTGTACCGTGTATCCAAAGCAGTGGAAACCCATGGTGTGCGCCAGACAGCCGGCAACCCAGGTTCCGATCGTCTGGGAGTTAAAGTTGCTGCGCCATTGTTGTTTTACGCAACCGAGAAATGTGAAATGGCTGCAATATGTGTCTCGCGGCCAGAGGCTTTGGATCTTAGCCCTGGCGAGAAGCATGATGAGTCGGCCATTGTGCCGAGCATAATCTAGGAACTGCAAATCCAAAGTTGTCAAGGGAGTGTGCAACTAAATGGTACTATTCGGGTCATGTATACGCGATCTCACCTTCAAAGACTCTATTAGAAGGCAGTTATGACTCCGCGATATTCGACATGGCTCAAGTCCTGCACAAAATATCGCCATGTAATGGCGAATTTGACTCTTGGACAACTTCGGGATATCAGGAAGGCGACAAACCGCTGCAGTGCCAGTGCAATTACCTCTCTTTTTAGACTAGTCTTTTTCTGACCACTCTTGTAACAAGGGCGTCGAAACAATCCGTTAGAAGATTATTTGCTTCTTTTTTAATGTAAAATTATAAAAAAAAATGTTCTGTAAAAAAATTTCTTTCTACCTATTTGGAAATGTGAGGAAAAAAATGCACTTACCGCGGTAGGCTGCCTTGACCGCAAAGTCAATTCAAGCGCCTTGGTGTGTGATAGGGCGACTGAGAAATTACATGATTGGCTTTGGGAATGGATGTAGATGCATTGGAAGATGGCAAGCCTTCAAGTGTGTTATGGGGTTATCAACATGTGCCGAGACATGTCGTGATACATATGTAGGCCAGATTGATTGCTCCGATCCATGTGTTGTGTACCTAAAAACGGCAGTGATTCAACCTAATACTTTTCCTCGGTCCTACTTATTACGGGCTGCGGAGGTAAATGTAATCTAGCGGTGGAAGAAGCTCAACGTTCCCCAGCTAGCTTCTTGACGCACCGCGCTGTACGCGTTTCGATTTTTTGGTTCAAGAAGCTCATCCTGGCGTGCTTTCGAGTAATCATGCGAGTCTCGAGAGCAACCACCAGGCACATCTGTCCATACAGCGGGCTCTGATATCCGCCAAACAAGATGCCCGAAGTCGGCCAATATTGCATGCGGCTGAAGCTGAGCGGCCACCGCATTTTCAGCTGCGGGCTCCGGGGTAGGGAAAAAAAAAAGACGTATAAGCCTAATTCCCCTATTCTCCCGCGTGGCGCATAGATTGAAGCGCAGCTCCTTGTTGGAGTGTATAAGCTGCCCATTGTTATCCTTCAATAGCCAGCTATTGAGAGATGACTTGGAAGGCTATATACAATGTGATGATTCCAACAGAAACTCACTGTATACACTGCGACCGCTTCCTCATGAGGTGGCCAAACTGATCCAAGGGCTTCAAATAATTCTCGGGCCGTCGCGAAGACCCCCCTCTGCAAGGATCGGTGTAAGCATCACTTTTCTGACAGCATGTAACCAATCAAGTAAACTATATCTCACGCAGCGACAGAGCATCTGCTTTCGCAAAACGACCTCATTGGAGAATGGTCGATGCTGGCGTCTGCAGTCCACGCCTCGGCTGACCTTTATCGCGGCTACATTCATCTGCGGACGTGGGCAGAGCAACTATATATACCGGTATATGTGCTAGGCCATCTTCTTCTTTCTCTTTTTCACGACTCCTTCGTACACTTCTTTCCCTCTTTCATTCCCTCCAAAACCTCAAGATGAACATTTGGCACCTCGCCATGGCCACCCTCCTCGGGCTAGGACTTTCCAGCCCAACAAAAGACACGGCACCGCTCCAAAATCTAGAGAAGCGTTGCGTCGGGCAGGCTCAATACTGCGGCAATGGTAACTCGTGCTGCGCCGGACTCTTCTGCACCTGGCCAAACACGCTTTGCACGCCTTGTGGCGGACAGGGCCAGGACTGTGGCAATGCCGTTCCATGTTGCGGTGGCTTTTATTGTAGCTGGCCAAACTCGCGTTGTCAGCCGTGTAATGCGCGCGGTCAATACTGTGGGAATGCTGTCCCATGCTGCGCAGGCCTCAGCTGCAATGCCATGACTTCTGTTTGTAGCTGAGCAGTAGCGTGGAAAGCGACCTTGGGCGGATCCGGGACTTTGAAACCGATTGGTCGTAACCTGCCATCCGTTGCTGAGCGGCCTGGTATGACTTGATGGATTGGAGGACCGAAAGAGCCAGGCATGATGTGGGAGGGCTCTTGATGAGGGCAGATGGGCTGTGGATAGCAAATACACCTTGGATGGCGCAGTGAAGACAACTTGGACAAGGCTGGGCATATGTCCCCCGCAACGTTACAGACTTTGTGGCGTTGATTCTTCCCGGACTGCAGTTTATGTACGTAGTGCTTAAATGTCTGCTATAGGATACGTTTGGTGAATATAGGGCCATGGCCTTGTCTCATTATCTGTCTCCGGCGGAGGAAACAGTGTCCCAGACTACCGAGCACAGGACAAAAGTCAATGCGTCAAGTATCACAGGGCTAGTGCCGCCGGAATGGTCCTATCACGGGCCTGGTCTGGCCTGATCGGATGGAGACAAGCTGAAGCGAACCGTTGAGGTGGATATAGGGGCGGCCGGGGTTGGGGGTTCAAGTCTGGATTGGCTTCCTCGCACACAGTACAGTAAAACTAGAGCCATGTCAAAATGATGTACCTGGACAAATGGAAACCCTGCAAAAGAGGCAATGGCAAGACGTGCGAGCAGATCGACGGCCGGGGGCTGTCAGTTGGGGGTCTTGGGGGGTTGCTGTTGGTTGAGGGAGGCTCGAATGCAACAGTGTCAACGAGTCTCCTCATGTCCGGCTCGATTTAGTCACGACTTAGTTAGCTTTAGCTTCGTCCAGCTTGCTACATGCGTGGCGGATCGGTGCCAGAATCAAACGTTGGGGCAAGCTAGCGCCAGCAACTTGGAATAGCTTCATGCCCCGGCTCTTCCTGCTCTGCTTCCCGGAATTCATTGACTATCCCATGATCCGTTGATCATGCCGAGGTCAACATGGAACTTGACCTGTCAAGCCGCAGAGACAGGCTGATTGCCGGCTTCTAAGAGGGAGCTGAGAGCCACTACCGAGCAATTTGGGATGGCCCGAACCGGCTCTCGTGCTGACCCGACTCAGTGACTGGTGGGAACAAAACGTGGCCGTGGAGTCTGACGGCTAATACCGCAGACTGGAGAAAGTCTTGTAAATCTACTGCTCCGCTCCGTGATGCAGAAAGTCACGCGATACTGTAAGCTACGATGAAAAAAACACATTTCCGGTGCAAGGCCTTCAATTTCTCGCAATTTCAGGCCGATTTACTTACCCCTTGCAGAGCTTTTGCCCACTCTCGCCAATCATAATCCCCCTCTGACATTTTGTTTCGTTGCCTGGGTTAAATGATTCTCCAGCCGGCGCTCAGACCTCTCAGGTTCTCAACTAGTGGCGATAGTTGGGTCCGTCCAACTTAAAAACCGGGCTATGATGGGCCTCCCCGGAGTCATGGTGCCCTGATGTCAGCGAGGAATGGATGCAGAATCGCCTGTTTACGCACAGATCCCAAACTGCCAGCCATCGAAAGACACTGGGTGGTGGTGGTGGTGGTCACTGGTGGTTATGTCGACTTTCGTGCCACGGCATGCGACAAAACTTTGCCGGCACAATGAACACGGCCCTTATCTGGTGTCAATCTGGCGTGGCTCGTCTCTGACCTCTATTTGCATATAGCCAGCCTTGTTTTCCAACCGTTACTTGTCGAGCCCTTCGTCTTCAGTACGTGACCCAACGAGAAGTCTTGACCTGCTTCGAACGCGTCGAAATATCAGATGGATTCCACGAGAAAAATTGCCTCAATATAAACGGGTTGGGTTAATAGGGTTCCCTTGGTCAGGTTATTTTTGCAGTTTTACTGGTTGCAGGCCAGATAATTTGCCCATCTTCACGGCATGTCCCAAGAGTCAATAGACGTGACTCGCCGGGCCATCGTTGAGCTTGCCAACTTGCCAAGCTGTGCCGTAAGTCGTCTTCAGATGCCTTCATTGTCCAGAGAGCCTACGGGGGGCTCATTTTTCGCTTGCGAAGCTGACAAGAAGTATATCACATCCAGGCCGATTGCTATACCCGGCTGGCTGCTTCACCAAATAGCTACTCCTGCCACGCTGTTTCCAACAGCGAATCATTAGAAGGATGCCTTCTTCGCGCGTGCACGCCACCCGAAGCAATCTGTATGAACCACTGCGATACTTGATAGCTGATGCTGTTGCTGACGCGTGATGCAGTCGCCAGAAACGCCACAGAGATAGCATGTCAAACTCCGGTTCGCGACACCTCGGCTCCGTTTCTCGTCATCAACATTGTCCTCGGCCTCATCACAGCGGCAGTCATTTTGATGCGATTGACTTATAGGTTTTTTTTTAGTCGAAGAAATGGGCGCCTCGATATCGACGACGGCTTGATCCTTCTTGCATCGCCCGTCGCCATCGCCAGCTTGACCACCTTGCTGGCCGGGCTGTGGAAACATGGAATTGGGAAAGATGTTTGGGGCCTGAGCTCGGCAGAAGTAGTGACATTTGGCCTGTTTCTATACGTCATGGAGATGTTGTATCTGAGCCTTCTTACCCTTGTCAAACTCACGCTGTCGGTCTTTTACTTGGAGATATTCCCCAGTCCCATGATTCGCAAGCTACTTTTGGGTACCGTGGCTTTCCACGTCCTGTTTGGCGTCGGGTTTGTTTGCAAGACTATTTTCCAATGCACGCCCGTCGAGTACAGTTGGTTGCGGTATGATGCCGGCAGTTGGTCGACAACACACGGCCACTGCGTCAACATTCACATATCAGCATATGTCAACGCTGCCGTCAATGTGGCAACGGACTTTTGGCTCATAGGCATACCCATCACTCAACTACACAGGCTGAAGCTTCATTGGAAGAAGAAGATTGGCGCTTCCTTCATGTTCATGACCGGATTGTTGTATGTATACCCTATTTGGCTGCAGTACTTGGGCAAAAACAAAACATCTCTCCGGGTTGGAATGCAACAACTGACTGTATACCTGACAGGGTTACTGTTATTTCCATCCTTCGCCTCAACACACTCAAAGAATACGCCAAGACAACAAACCCGACCTACGACCAATATTCGGTTACTCTCTGGTCGGCCGTCGAAGTAAATATTGGCCTGATCTGCACTTGTTTACCTAGTATACGATTGATCCTGCTTCGCATTTGGCCAAGAGTATTTGGAATGACCTCGATTGACTCAAGTCATGGAAATTCACAAAAGGCCTCTTCTCGAGAACCGTCCAGATACTTTTACAAGAGCCCAGTCAACGCGGAGCATGAGCTGGATGCTACCGCCAGACTGACCGAACCTCCGGATGTGGCTCGCACTGCCACAAGAAGCACTTGGAGCGGTGATCCTGAGAGAGATAACGTGGAAGATGCTCCGCTCTATTATGAGGAAGCTCCGAGAATAAAGCCTCAATTATAGCCCAGTATGTCGTACATAGCGTAGAATGAGCATGCTGGGTAGGGTGGGAAAAAGAAGCACTTTTGTGCTGCGACAATGGCTGACACAAGATATGGACCAGAGTGTCATGGCCATGGGAAAGGTAATAGCTTAATCCATATTAATACCCACGGCTGTATTAATGAATTGCGTCATACACTAGAACGGGGCGTCTCCGATATTGCTCTCAAGGCGTGAAGACGGGGTATTAATCCACGCACACACGAAAGGTGTCTGGTGGACGCGTAATGTGCCTCGTGGAGTATCTTATCTGATCCCAGTCTCCGGCTCGGCGCTAGACAGACATCTCCGAGTCCGGTAATAAAAGGGGTGTATGGCCCGTCCATTGCTGAGAGGTTACAAGACCTTGGCTACATGTATGGACAATATGATTACTGCGCCGATTCTAGTCGGGCTCTGTGCCTTGTCGCGCCCAACACTGGGCGATGAAAGTGAGCATTTCGGACCTAGCAAGGACTTTGCACGCCGCCGCGCCCCGGAAATCTTCAATGCAGTGCACAACGCGATGCGGCAATGGGGTTCGTCTGTCCATCACAATGGCATGTCACTCTTCTTGGCAACAGTCCCCGAAGGCGTCCTCTTCCACCATGGAAACGGTCGACCAGAAAGCCCATCTGAGCCGGACTGGCTCGCGTACGAGATGGAACACGCTGAACAATTTACTCGCAGCTTCGGTCCTCCGCCGAAACAAAAGAATCCAAATACGGAGTCGAAACCAGATACACCAGCAGACCAGCAAAAAGTCATGGCCAGCAAGACACCGCTTTCTGACGCTGAAAGAGGGTGGCTACATGTGTACCGGACGACTCGACCGCTTCAATTCCTATACATCGACGGGATGAGCGGAGCAAAAACCGATATGGGAACCCTCGACATGCAGGATTATCTGCTTCGCAGCCGGCGATCTCATGGCGAAGTTGGTCGAGATGTCCGTCAAACGGCCAACACGCCAATAAGAGAGCGAGAACGGGCCGAATTCCTATGCGAACTTTGCAAAGAATGGCACCTGCAGGGAGTTATTCGAATGGAGGCTGGCTTTGAGATCATCAAGTGCAACTTCACGGATGGATTGGAACAAGTCCAAGCTTTTCGACGTCCCCGCTCAAGAAACAGTCATGGACTCCGGAGTGAGACTCGGCAGTTTGAGTACCTCCGCGGCATTGCGGAGAGATATTTCGACATTGGGTCATCGCGAACCGTGATTGACTACTCATCCATGGTTTCCGCCTTCTTCTTCCCAGTCAACTTGACCAACCCCGACACCAAGCGACCAGATTTGCCCAGACTTTCTCAAGCCACCGACGCCGACTTAGCTACTATCAACGGGTACTTCAATGGCATCGTTTCACAGCGTCAAAATGAAACTAGACGCCAAATAGACTGGCAAGACGTCTCCGATATCATTGTCAGCCGGTATGCTGACAGATTGGAATACATGGTGAAACATGTCGCTTCTATGGACGTACTGGCGCTCGAAATAAACTTCCTTCTTGATGTTTATATCGATTACCCCGACGAGGATGAGCCTTCTTTGCCAAATGCGGTTAATCACTGCAAGGAGTTTTATCTAAAGGCGGTCTCTCCGGCGTCAGAATCGGATCACCTCATTCATGCCGCGTTCCGGCAAGTCATGTCAGAGATTTGCACAGCACTTTTTGAGGTCCGCGAGTCATTAAACTCCAAAAAGCTGACGAAAGAGCAATCCCTAGCAACGTCCACAAAAAGGCTGCAGTCACTGATGCAATATCTTGATTGGGCTCGCTTTAAGCGCTGTTCTGGCTGTGGCGTCGAGGAGGTTTGTGTCATTCCCATGTGGCCATTTGGTGACGAGGAGGACTATTACCATCCTCGATGTCGGAATTCATCGGACACCCGCAGGGGCAAGAGCTATTGGGGCAGATTTACACCTTAGATGGGATGTGGCAAGGATCTTGCTTTGTAGGTACATTTTGATTTAGCGGCAGCGTGAAGGGCAAATGCGATTCATTAGGACGTGAGGGTGAGTAATGATATGGCTCACAGGCTACAGCGAGACGTGCTGAATGGGAGAACATTTCGCAACCTCGCCTGTAATATCTTAACATGAATTCCTTGCATGGTAGTATGCTTTTCATGTAGGAGAATGATGCCACAATGCTCAAACTCAGGCCTGGTAGCTGAATGTGTCTTTTCCCAGGCCTTTGACGCATAACTCCCACCAAGGGCGATTTCTTGGGTCAAAAGTGTGATATTCAGAGGCTGTTGATCATGATAGTTGCTCTCTCTAGGGCTCCAATTCGGGCTTGGATTGATGGTCACGGCAGGGGTCTTTGGGGCTTCTCACCGGGTATAAAAGGGGTCAATTTTCAGGGTTTTCAGGCCATTCGACAAATATCTTCGTCAATCATCGATATCATCAAATTCGTTCAATTGAGGCCTCCAAAAGCCTCCCCAATAACCGCCTTCTACGCTGTGTAAATTGCTGTTGTATTTCCAACACGATTATGCCAATAAAATAGCACTGCGATACCAACTTGCCCAGCCCGAATTATCTCTAGGATCGGTCTTGTGATTCGTGTTCACAAGCGAGCTTCGACAACTGTGTTACCCAGCTATCAAACAGCCAGGGCTGGCAATACGTTGCTTAACGCATGGTCCGATAAGCTGATATTATTCGTTGTGAACGTTTAAAACATGTCGCGTCACACTGATGCAATAAAAGTACCCTCGAAAGATCACTTCAGATAATCTGTGGATTTTGAATTCGACTACCAAATCGACTGCCAACCGCCGTTTACAATAAGCTCCGTGATCTGCAAACGCACCATACTGTCCCACATCGAACACATAAACAAAAAGGTGACCGGCATTCAGAATAGATGAACTAAAGAGCTGGACTCCTCTAAGTAATTTTTAAAGTTAGTCCAAGCCTGATCAAATATAGACAAAAGCAACTTACCTCATTCAATCAGCCGCTTATGAGCAAACAAAGTACTCAGTATTGCTCACAGAGGCGAAGGATCGTCTTTTGAAATGCTTCCCTTCCTTTCCTCTATCCTAAGGGGGCTGACTGGTTCCCGTGATTTCATCTTCGTTCCTCCGCGCCGAATTGAAAGCTTGGGTCTCTCTGGTTGCTTGCTATGAATTAATTAGTGCCATGATACTTCGAATAATATGGTAAATTAGGAACAGCGGTATGAAACTCACTTGATGGCAGGGCCCTGACGTTGATAACATGGGCTGCTTGTCTGCTTGGAAGGCTTTGATTTGCTGTTGTCCATTTCGAATTCGTTTCCTGAACTGAACAAGGGTTGCTGAGAGAAAAAGTCGGAATGTCTATTTAGAGTTAATGATAAAATACGATTTCCTGGGGTGCGAAGGTGATTTTAAACTCACATCTTGGCCTTGTAGAACCTGAGAACAGTGCGCCGAAGTATCATACTTGAATGGACGGCTGCAAGGAGGATGAATGATACGCAGAGTGACAATGAACTCATTGTAGCTAAGACTACTGATGCCATCAGATTGTACAATCGCCTTATGCGATTTGCGTTGTTGGAATGCTGGCAAAATATGGATGCAAGAAACGCACGGCATGGCATAATGAACGTGTGACGCGGCTCTTTGTCAGCCGAAAAACCGGCGCGCAATCAGCCGGCAGAAAGAAGTTCAAAGAGCGAAGATAGACAAACACTACTCGGTTTGTGACTAACAATGATGCTAGCACAAAGACATGTGACTCAAGGTTTGTCCAACTATTCCGCGTGACATGTCTTCTCTTTGACGATGTTTCATTTATATTGGCAGATGACGAGCAGTGTCTGTTTGTTGACGGTTTCTCCTTACAGCTTCAAGCACCTTGAATATTGAATGCAACTAAAACCCTTACACCCGATCAGTCATTCTTCATGCATAAAGAAGTTTTGTGCATCTACTCTAAAGCGGCTTGAGGCTTTGTGCGCCTTTACTTGTGTACAACACATTCCTTGACAAAGGCGATCAAGCACATGCAAATATACATAATGGAATATTAACAGCCCCACCAATAAAGACATATGAACATCTTAGCGTCTCTAGAGTCGTTGACTAAAACCTTTAAAGACAAGTCTGTAGAATAGGGTGCTAAACTGAGGACTTAGGACTCTCCATTTTAAGCCAACTCCGATGAGCTGTTGCGAGCTGTAGGAGGAAGGGCAGAATGACTGACGCTTCCACCCCACGGCCGCTACAACGCGGTTTGTATAGTTCGTAGTGGACTAGGGTGGAGAAATCTTCTCTTTTTGCTTCGACCTGACAGTCCTCTTTGTTCGCTGGTTGTCCATGAATCGTCAAGATGCCAACCTTTATCAAGCGCCCCCATGTTGCTAGAGCCCACGGACGGGACCATCTTACAACTTTACGCAGTAGATTGCGAGAGATTCACTGATAGGGCTTGAATATTGCAGGTGTATATCCCTCCGATTTCCAACGCCGAGTTCTGGTGCGTCGCTGTAGGAGTTTTGAAAGCCGTTTAGCTTGGCATCACAATCAAAATTAATCACAAGCGCATTATAGGTGGGTCATTTGCAGCTGCAGGTGTTCTGGACGACGAGATAGGGTCTATTAGCTCTGGTGTGTACAAGCTCGGAAAGACGTGAATGGAATAGTGTCAAGCAGCACAAAAGAAAAGGTGCACCTATGAGTCAATTTTGTGACTCTTGTTTCAAATTTGAAACCGCCGCTTCATGGTTTATCGGTGCAGTCTTTGCCTGAATTAGCGGCTAGTGCGGTCGATTTATTAAACCTGCACTCATCTTGGATTTTATGATACCAAAGGATACCTTTTTGGCTAACTAAATGACCAGGACTCTTCATATTACTAGCTAGCGGCTAACCTTTACGTTTTCAGCAAAGCGAAACAAAGTGATGGATCGAGCGATGTCGGACAAACGTCCCAAGACAGCTGTTTGCGGTGTTCCTGTGACAAGGGCTCAATAGAGGGCTTGGAGCAATGTAGCTCAATTCATCTAATAACAGTCTTTGGTATCAAAGGTCCTTGGTTTTCCTTAAGGCCTCGTTGACCAAAGACCTCTTTAAATACAAGAAGTCGGTGAAGGACTTTGCCCTAGGTCTCGTGACCGTAGCCCTTGTGTAACCTTTGACATTGGGCCATTTCCGTGTAGCAGTTCCCCCGCATCCGAATTCATGCCATAGAAAACTGAGTGAGTGCGACGCGGAAGCGACTGGAATCTCTTGTAACTTGGTACTTGAAAATCAGCCCATGATGGCTCGCATGACACCATATAGGGGTTGACTTGTCAGCAAGTCGTGTAACATCCCGAAGTCTCGGTAATTGCATATAGTTGGGGGGCGCAGCGGGCTTATACAGCTCGCTGTCCAAGACGACTGGGTGGATTGATGGCGGGTATAGTCTGACCTGAGCAACCTAGAGCGTCATTCATATCATGGCGATTATGGGCATTAAACCGCATCCCTAAATACCATGTTGTCCTGTTGGAATATCTGCGCACAATCACATCGGTGGGTTATGGCCTAACAGACCCAGACAACAGGTTTACCAACCGAGTTCAGATTTTGCACAACATACGATAGTTGAAATTTTAAGCATTCATGCTAAAGCGCTATCACACGGTACTTGGAGAGTAATCGCAAATAAGATCTTGTGTCGGGTTGAGCCATATTTTTTCTTTGACGGATGCCGGTAGGCACCCGCATGCGTTACATGGGTTGTCGACAATGTAGCATTGAAATCTCATAAAGACAGTTACCCCTCACACTTTGCAATAAGATTCAGCTTGTGGAAGGGCAAAGTTGTGACTCGATGCAATCTTGATACACATTCTTGAAACTCTTGTCTACTTGCCCGGATAATGTCCTAGGAAGGTGACAGCTTCCGCCAACATACACAAAGCATGCGGCTGTCCACAATTCAAGTCTGCATTGGAGCTTTTGCTTCGGCTGCGGAGGCAACTGTCGTCACGGACAATGCTGCACTCGCTGCCAACAAGACGTTTGACTTTGTGGTTGCCGGCGCCGGCCTGTCCGGAATTACAGTGGCAAACAAGGTGTGTGTTGTTTAACGTGTCGAATACGTACTATCTGAACTTGCCGAGTTAACGAAGACGACGATACAGCTTAGCGGTCAAGGGCATTCTGTGCTTCTGATTGAAGCTGGCCCAGATGGCTCATGGAATCCAGTAGTATGGGATGCAGAACGTCACGTGTATCCAGCTGTTTTCTGTAATTGGAACTACCCCGTCTATGACGATGCCGGCAATAAACTAAACTTTACGCTTGACGCCGGCGCTTGCATTGGCGGATCAACGTCTAGTGAGTCTGCTCGCGCACTCAACGCGCTGCTCAGCTAATGGGTGCAGTAAATGGAATGGTATGGTACAGGCCAACTAAAGCCGAGATTGATAAGCTGGAAACGCTGGGCAACCCTGGGTGGAACTGGGACAATCTTGAGCCTGTAAGCACTCATCATCATTTCCAGAACAAGGTTCGGTAACTAAGCTATGCGTTCAAAGTATATGAAAGCAATAGAGCGCAATCATCCACCGACAGCCGACCAAATCGCTCAAGGTGCCGGCTACGACCCGGAAGTGCACGGCTACCACGGACAAGTTAACACATCTTTTCCTGTAAGGCGTTGATGCCGAAATCGTGGAGGTTCAGGCTGACCTAGCTTTGCCTAGACGCCCATGCGTATCCCCACGGCGGTACAGCTTTACAAGAAGGGCCTGCCGCTCGTGTTCACGGGGCTCGAGATCGGAAACGATCTCTCCAACCGCACTTCAGTTGTGTCAGCGTCTACTTCCTGGACTATCTGGAATGATCCAGTGACAGGCAAACATAGGCGATCTTCAGCTGCGGATGCCCTTCTCTGGGCGCCAGATCAGCAAAGGAGAACTTTGACCGTGCTTGCCAACCATACCGTCACGAGAGTAACCTTTGACAAAGGCCTCAAGGCAACTGGAGTGGTTTTTGCAAGCAGATCAACTAAAGGCACGGCCAGACTTTACACTGTTAGGGCCAGAAAGTCTGTGATCCTCTCCACGGGCACATTAGCCACACCGGCAATCCTAGAGCGCTCTGGGGTCGGCAAGGCGAGTGTCCTGTCGGCTGCCAAGGTTAAACAATTGATTGATCTGCCGGGCGTTGGTGCGAACCTTAATGTAAGTGTTACCGCTTAGCTGATAAAAAAGGAATGCAAAGGAAGGGTTGGGCGTTAATGCTGTGCCCAGGATCAACCCGGGTCTTCAACATATGCCCACATGTCGAAGAAACATCAGAGTGATGCTTCCCTGGTAGACGATGGCAAGCTTTTCGGCCCAGAGACCTCTTTGATCAACATCGACGAGATATGGGCTACTAGTAAGGAATCCTTCCTTTGGATTTGTTGCATCTAGTACTGAATACTGTTAGATGCTTATGCGATTGCGGAGTCCTTGACATCTCCGGCAAATCTTGCGTCTCGAGCCGAGCACCTCGTCAATGCCGGCGCAGCGGTGAGCATCGCCGGCGCCGAGAGTATTCTGAATGCCACGATACAGCTGATCGTCGAATCAAGACGCAAGTTCCCTTTCTCTTCTGCTCGGTCGAACATGTATACTAAGCTGCCACAGTGCCCGTTGCCGAGTTCATCGCCGAGACGTACCCAGCCGTCTTTGGCGCCCATTTCTGGCCTCTGATGCCCCTATCAAGAGGCCATGTACATATTCATTCCGCGGACCCATTCAAGTTTCCCATTATCATGCCCCGTTTCCTCACAGACCAGTTTGATCAGCAGGTGGCGGTTACAGTATCACGTATTTCACGAGCACTCTGGGCCAGTAAAGCGTTTGAGGGTTTTGTTGACGACGCTTACTATGACCCCAAGATTGGTCCCAACGGTACGGATGCGGAGTATCTCGAGTGGTTCGAAAGGACGGCTAGGGCTGCGAGTCACTGGCTTGGGTCAACAGCTATGATGCCAAGGCACCTGGGCGGAGTGGTAGACTCCCGATTACGGTACAACCGCATCGATCAATACCAAAAGCGAACTGGCTAACAAGTTGCAGGGTCTACGGAACCAAGAACCTCCGCGTCGTTGATGCTGGTATCCTCCCATTCCAGATCACCTCCCACATGATGTCAACTTTGTATGCTGTTGCCCAGAAAGCAGCGCAACTCATCTTGGAGGACTGCAACTAGACTAGAATCAACGGAAAAATGGTCATATCACAAGGCATTGTTATCTTACCCTTTACACTAATGACTGTAGTATTTGAACAGCTCTGTGTAATGGCCTATTTAAGAACAGCCAAAGCTTTTTTTCTCTTTGCAAATTGTCTCATTAGTCCTGAATTGCATGATGAGAGGGCCACTTCACAAACATAGAACACAAATAGTGCCAAGCATCCTTCAACTTGCATTACCAAGACATTGCATCCAACGCCACAAGTATGACCATGTTAGCCAACAAGAAAGGCGGCCATGCCCAAGGCAAAAGCAACCACTGCCCCAACCGGAGCCCTCGCATCTGCACCTCCATGGGCGCCTCCTCCAGTGCTCGTCGGGCTGGGACTAGCCGAGGCAGACGTATGGCTAGATGAAACTAATGTACCTCCAAACACATTTGCAGGGTGACTTGCAGTGCTCACAGACTTGGCTGCGTTCTTATAGGAGCCGAGAGTCTGGGAAGAGGACGGGTTGACGACGCCAGACATTCCATTTTTACAATGCTCGAGAACAGTCTGCGCGCAGTAAAAGAAGATGGGGTCTGTCGAGTTGACTTTGACTTGGAAAGAGTCGGTCTATTCGTCGGTCAACCTTTGTATATGAAGCACGAGTTTGCGCAACGTCTTACAGCCTCGCCAGAGGAAACCGGCATAAACCCCGAGAAGAAACCACCAGTCTTGGCCGGAGCACACGGGTTGCTGAAGTCGCCCATGACGACGCTGTGGTTGAGTGGGTAGAAGTGGAAATCCAGCGTATCCCCAACGCCCGCCGTGACGGTATCTGGCGAGAAGGTGAAAGTACCATTCTCGCCGACGTCGACCTGGATTGTTGCTGCGCTGGCACCGGCAGAGAGTGCCAGCAGCAGCGCGAGTTCAAAGTTCCTGGTGTACATGGTAGGACCGGTTGACGTATCCGTGAAGCAGAGATGAGCTGCCAAGACAGCTAGTAACGGCGTCTGCCTATTTCACCTGCTGGTAATCATTTCACTTTCCTCCCATAATGTAGGCTACAGGAAGATCTTTATGCTGCCGCCGCTCCTAGTGGCAGCGCAACCCGGGGGCCGTCACTTGAATGCATCAGCCACTGGCTTTGCCCAAATACGAAGAGAAGCTTCAAAGCCATCACAGCCGCCGCATATACCATGCCAAAATTGAACAAGTTCCAAATATTGAGAAGGGAAAATACAAGTTCAGTCCCAAGCCCTGTGGCTGAAGGCAGTCGATTGCAGCATGGGCGCTGAACGCAATGTACTCGGACAGTTGATGCGCCGCTCAGTCTCGTCCTATGCGGTGCCAGGGAACACGCCCAATACAGCCCCGTGGCATGAGAGATATGCCGAGCGGTCCATTTCATGCTGCCGACCGGCGCCACTAGATGGCTTCAGACGTTGAGCCATCTCGAACAGGCTGGGCGCCAATGCGGGCGCGAGTGGCTGAGCTGCTGGCGGTGACCTAGCATCTCGCCCATTTCAGTACTGTCGATGCCAGAACTGCGTGCCGAAGTGCCGAGTATGGCGTTGGCATGGGATGGCGGCACTTCGAGAAGCAATTAGGGCTAACTGGATGATGAGCTCACTGCAGGCGAATGGGCTCGCTGGAGGGTGCGATCTGAATCTTGCCTTTACACCCTACACGGACATGGACACGTAGGCGCGGCTAGATATTCTTGTTTTAGCAAGTCAAATTGTGATGCGTTTTCGGCCCATTAGTCTATTGGTGGTGACGGATTTTCTTGTCCTGGGGGAGCTAACGCCTGTTGAGACGTCATGGAACAGGCAAACGGTAGTGTTGATAACTTGGAAAGAAATTCTTCCGGCGGGACATTTTCCGTATGTGAAATTTCCATGGTGGGGGAAGATCTTTTCCATCTCAAGGTAAGCACATGCATGCAGTGGACAACAAGGAACCGAGAGTATCCTCGGATATACATGTTGGTGATGGTAATTTTGACACGAGTCTCGGTCAATTTAACCGGTGAGAAAGAGTTTCTGTTAGCCTGGAATTCATCGTGTGCTATTTTCTGAAAACAAAGGCAGCAATACGGACTCACATCGATGATTGCAGCATATCCAGTCGAGGCTGCTCTTAACCACTCTATTGCCGTTCGCCGTAATCAGTCATTTAAACCCAGGAAAGGTCTTTTGAAGCCAATGAGTACCGGACAATGGCCACAGTACCCCAGAAGACTGGAAGCCGCCACGCCAGAGTACGTTGAAAGATAATCCACATTCACTCCCAGAAGGTCGACGTGCGGATGTGTAAGAGCCAGGAGAAGGGCGCCGGTGTCGCTAAATCAGAGTGAGCACGGATTTTTATATATTTTTTTGTAATGGGAGAGTCCTCCTGCTTACTCTACATTGCCAAATAGGTCGGTATCAATGATCAATTTCTTTTCCCCTAGTGTGTGGTTGAAGCCGAGCGCAGCGAGGCCGAGGACGATTTTCCAAAGTCGCGATAGTCCCATCCTGGAAGGCTCAAGCGCGGGTTGATACTACAGGCAGCAAGTTGCAACACGTACGACGCCAAGCAAGTAAATTGCTTTGGAAGTTGTGAAATTCTGCGTTGACTTGCTCCAGTTGAGCGCTTTGGCTCACCGGCCACAGCTGTAGCTCAAGATGTGGGCATATCTAATTTGTTGGTCGTCTTGTCATGTTGCACAGATCGGACACTATTTGACCAGATGCATGAAGCACTTAAGCTATGTTCTTACCCCTTTGCCTCGTCGCTGGCTACTTTTGTCTTGGCGGCTGGCTCAGCTACCTAGTCAACTTCTGAATCACAATTGTAAACATGCAATCACCGACAGCGCCGAGACTTGCATCGACTTGCATTTTGCTTCAGGTCACAAGTTCACTTGCATCGGGCAACGTGTACCTCGGTCAGGCGGCTTCTACTCACAAGTCAACATGGTTGCGGTCTGGTCAGCCTGAGACCACCCAAGACTGTTGCTGCACAAGGTGGAATACAAGGAGATTACAGAGCACAAGCCGATCGCATAATTAGCGGTCGTGCTACGTGGTGCTTCTTCAGACCTTCTGCTTCTCGTTGCTCAGTAAGATTGTCCATTTCTCCAAATTCCGTCTCAAAAGAAGGTGTACTCGCCAACAGCTCAAGCCAGTGTGTTGCCAACTTTCCACCTTTCGTCGTGTGCCTCCTGCATCTTATTTTGCACAGTACTCACAAGAGTCCTTACCATCCAAAAGCGACGCCTCGCATCTTGCGCCAACGTCATTGACCGTATTGAAACAGATTGTGCCAGCTAGTATGTCTTCTCCTTCTGCGCGGCCGCGGCCTCCATCATTTTTCGTTCCGCCCTACGATACAAAAACGGATACATCAACTCCGGTATGGCGTTTAAACCCAGCAAAACGATGCTCGGCCACGATGCCACGTACGCCCAGTTCTGCGGCACATTTAGATAGCGCCAAAAGAACACCGCCATGGCCGACAGGACGCCGCAGAATCTCACAACCCTGCATCTGTTAGCGTGTCATGGTGGTCCCGCTTATGGGGGACAAGTTGCGACATTTATACGATTGGCAACTCACCAGATTTCGAGCGACTGGCCCTTTGTGTGTGCATGCTTCCACAGGTAGAGCACTTCGCACCATCCGATTCCCAGCTCTAGCAGCCAGCCTGTCCAATACGCCGTGACTTGCTCGCCGTCGTCGGGAAAGTACAGCCCCAACAGGTAGTAGACGGCCGTCAGGGCGAGCGTGGATAGCGTAGAGCGCAGGGCTACTTTGAGGCGCGTCCCGGGCGGACAGGTGTATTTGATGGCGGTATATACGAACCTCACGTCCAGCAGGAGCCAGACGAGACATCCTGCAAGCTCGAGCTTGCCGCGCGCCATGACAAATGGATAGTACAGCTCGTAGGCCAAGTTGCCGAACCTAACGGGGTAAGTAATCCCAGGGACGCATTGTGGTGGCCAAAAATGCACGTACAGCAAGTCCACGGGTCCGGCCAGGAACCGGTCGCGTTTGGTGCGAAGCGTGTAAAACACATAGCAGAAGCAGTAGAGAAGGGCACACAGAATGATGAGAAAGTCCTGGACAAATAGGTAGCTCTGGGGCGGGTTCAGTTCCAAGTCTGCCGCATGGACAATGATGTGGTTGTTTTCAAACCATGATGCCCACTCGAATGCCATGGTGTGTGGGATGGTCGCACGCTGCTTTGCCTACCAGACCGAGTTTCTTAAGAGTCGAATCATGTATTGGGTGCGCTCGATGTTTCTCTTCTAAAATTTCTCCAGCGGCTTTTTAATTGATGGGAAGGGCTGCGGAAGGGACGGAGTTTTGTGGAACATGTAAGCTGCATGCGGCCAGCCCCTGCACAGCCCCCGGATATTTAGAGAATAGCCTAGTATCTATTTTGTTCTTCTTGTTGTGTAATACATGTGCATTATTGGTAAATAGTCGTCCGTGCTTGGTTGGCGGTCCTTCCATTTCTTGTGGAAAACCGACTCATCTCCCCGCGGATCTCTATATCTTCAACACAAGCTTCCCCCCCGATAGCCAGAATCGAAGAACAGTCAGCAAAACACCAGAGCACATCATGGTGCAGCCTCCATATACCCACACCGAGTCCCAGTGAAGGTCACTCCGATCAGTCCCTAGAATATCACCGCCCCCGGGTCCGCCGGCAAGAGCGCCAAAACCAAACGCAGCAAACCCCATGCCAATACGGGTGCCGAGTTTGCTCTTGTCCTCTGTTAGTCTCACAAAGCAGACGCCCGGTATGGCGATGAAGACTCCCGAGAAGAAGCCATAGAGGACGGCAATGGCAATAATGCCGCCGAGGCTCTTGACCGCGACGAGACAAAACGTCAAGATGCCACAAATGATGGCGGCCGGGCCAAATACTTGCCACTGCTGTTAGCGCGTCAATTCCTACAGGCACGAAGAATGCATCGCTTCTTACAGTTGAACGGGCCCGTCTTGTCGGAGATGGCGTTTGGCAGTGTTCTGCCAAACATGGACACGGCGTTGAGAATCGGGATCAGATAGAAGGACATTTCGGGTGACGCGATCCCCGTCGCGGCGCCGAAATACGAAATGTAAAACAAGACGACGTAGAGGCCTATGAATCCAATCAAGGTGCTTACCACGAAGAAGACATACGGCCAGTCGGTAAAGGCCGACCAGTCCAGCACGGCTCTGGGGCGCAGCGGCTTGACGCGCATTTTGGCAAAGCACAGCGGGATCGTCAGCGTCGCCAGGGCAATGAAGCCAATCGTCCTGACGGTCCAGCCGAAGCCGATCCTGCCAATCAGCTTGTAGAAGATGATTGGATAAACGACGCCGCCTAGCGAAGACCCCGAGGCGGCGATGCCCACCGCCAGTCCGATCCGGGTGTTGAAATAGGTCGGGAGGAGGGCCAGCGACGGCACGAAGAGACAGCCGGCGCCGATGCCGATGCAAAACCCCTGCGCGAGAAGGGCCTGCCAAAAGGTCTCGCACATGCTGAGCATCATGAAGCCGAGCACGAGCAGGGACGAGCCGGCGAGGACCAGCAGGCGAAGACGGCCCCGGTCGTAGATTGGCCCGGAGACGAGGCCCACGACCAGGACGCAGTACGCTTGGATAGAGCCGATCCACGAAATGTCGGACGACGGCTCGCGGAACAAGGAGCCGCCCTCGTAGTAGGTCTGGAAGATGCCGAAGGTGTTGAGGACCCCCCAGGTGTTGAAGAAGATGCTGAAGGCGGCGGCGACTTGCATCCAAGCCCAGTAGCCGCCATTGGGCGGCGGTGAGTTGGCAGGCGGCGAGACATTTGCAGCAAAGGCATCAGCATCCGCGGCCTTTTCTTCGCCTTGCTGATGTTTGTAGGCGCTGTCCAGAGGTAGTGAGGAGGGTACGCCGTCGGACTGGTCGGAGACGGGGGGCAACCCATCGGGCAGCTCCCGCCCGGCTGGCATTGTCGCGGCCTCGACTTGATGTTGACAATGGAAAAACGGCAGCCCTGTGTTGTTGTCTTTGCATCGCGTTTTAAAACGGTGGTGAGAGTTTTGTGCGTCCGTCTCGGATTTAACAAGTCGCGAATAAGCCCGAGCGCCGGAGGCGGGAGAAAGCTTGGCGCCAGCACTAGAGTACCAGGTCCAGGCATAATTGATCGCAAAACATGTGCCCGGGCTTATTCACATTGCCAGTCGACTTGACATTTCTCCTGTCGTCTTTGTGCGAGTGTGTTGTGTTGCAATCCCGCGACACGGCTAGTCCTTGGCGTCACCAGTCGGATCGGAGCCGGCGCCCGGTGACGTGGTGCTTGGCAGGACTTTGACCAATGGGCTGTGAGTAATTGAATTCCGGTCAATCTTCCATTACATCCGTCTGGTGTTTTTGTTCTGGGTTTACTAATGCGAGTGGCCTCGCGAAGAATCCGCTTTTGCTGGAACAAGGCTGTCGGGCCCGGTCCCGATTTCCATGCATTGCGCCGATGTCAAATCCTCGCCTCCATTGTGAAGACAGCTTGGATTGCGCCCCTCTGGTTCGGCTTGCACGTAAAACGTTTTGCGCCTGATCTGGCACTCGGTTTCAACTCCACGCGACGGGACACCTTTGCGTCTATACAGTTTCCGAGCATCATCGCCGGCCAAAGACTTTTCACGGCATGTGCTCCACTGACCCGTTCCGTCTTCATATTCACTCATGCACGTATCCGATAAACGTATTTCCAATGTTCACTGATGGCACGTTTCCCGGACGGGACCGCTGAGGGCATCGCTCGGGTCATCTAGTTTCTTCATAGTGACTGCCGTTTCAACCGTCTCCCGGGCTATGAAAAGGGCCTTCGTAGGACGAGCAGGCTTCACGGCATCGTCGTCATCGCCATATAAGGAAATGAAAAGGCGTGTGCTAGAATCTCTGTAGATGCGTGCACCACACCGGTATCTAAAGGCGACGCCGTCAATGAGTGAAGCTATATGCACTGACTCTTTGTACCTTGTCCCTAACGTGAATGCGGCAATTAGCCAACTTTGCGCCCCTTTATCAAGCTCAGTGCGCAGACTATGGTTGTAAAGGTAGGAATCGAGTCGCCTGCAACATCCACTACACGATTCTATTTTTGGCACCTCGACATATTCGGAGATGGAAACGCTGTAGACCTGGCTGTAGGTGTTGTCTGAAATGCCAATATGATGCCCATGCCCCATAGCAGCGGCAGAACTACCAGTACAATAAGCAAGAACGCGCTTGCGGAATACACATTGAGGGTTGAAGGCGTTGTATATTGGTCGCCCAGATTCCCGTATCAGCTCGTGTTCATCAGGCATGATGATGAGGGAGGAGTTGAGATCGTGGTCAGTCCGCCTGAACGTAGGGGAGGAGAGCAACCAAATAGGGATAATCGAGGTTGAGCCAGGGTTTCAAGAAATAAGCAACGAATGTGCCAGTCGGGTAGTTTTGCGTAAATGTACCGTGAGTGTGCATCAAACTCTGCATTCCGACTCGGCTGCATGCGTCCACCGGCCCTCACTTTAACGTGATTGAACGGCACCTGGAAGGTGTGCCGTGTCTGATGCACACGCATGTCTCAAACCACACGTTTTGCCAATGTCTGACGCCGCGGCAGGGTGCGAGACTTTAGGTACCTTATATTCAGACATGCAGTGGCAAGGTGACGTTCGATGCAAGGTATTGTATATTTATTCAAACTGGTCAGCTATCCAGTATCTGGCTTTCCAGTACAGATTCAAAATGTTGAATACATTATTTTATTGGCTATATGAACCAAATCCGGCATGTCAGCGCTGGGGCTGATGGTCTGGGCTACTGTAACAGGGGCAGTTCAACTGGGCTTGGAACAAAGGGTTTGATTCAATCTCAATAATCGATTTTAAGGTATCAAAGATGCTTGGTTTTCCACGAGGCTTCAAGAGACCAAAGGTCTCTATAAGTATAACAAGCCGGTGTGTGTTTGAGGCCCGAGGCAGCCCTCGCTTAGGTCCGACTTCGGGCCTCGTGATATTTCAATGTTCCTTTGTTGTTATGTAACCGTTGTTGGCCCAACACCCCAGGTGCCTTTGTTGTGGCCCAGCCGCGTGACCAGTACGGCCGGTATTCTTTTGACAGTGCGAGTGCATAATTTTCTGGATTTATTTGACGAAAACACACTCCGCAAAGTGTCGATTGGCAGAGTTTAGTAGGATAACTATCGCGGATTGCCAACCATTGGACTTCTAAATGTAACATGTCTTGCTGGTGGTAATAATTGTCGGATGCAGAGAAACGATCAGGGGAATCGCGAAAGGGCAGAGTCCACTCTTCGTGCTTTGTGGCTGAAATGCCAGGGGAAAACTTAATGCCTAGGTGATATTCTGCCTGTGCTTATCACGAAAAAGAACGCGCTCTAATCGAATAGCAATTATACCCCCTTATATTCCGTTGACAGTGCTTCATTAGGACTTGCCTAACCAACAATTACTGCATTTTGCGCAAAGTGGCGCCAGGAGATCACAGCATGCAAAGTAGTTTGTACACAGGACTCAAGAATCGTCTAGTGAACTTGTTTTCGCAAGTCCCCCATTTCCTCTTTACAAGGTGAAGAATTGCAGGACCCCTTTGAGTTAGTGAATAAAAGGTGAACAAGAGATCGCGTCTTGTTAGGCGCGCCATGTCCATGCCGAGTGAAGAGTATGTAATCGGCCCAGTATTTGATGGAGTCTTTGGAATGATCGAACAGAGGAACCAACCGCCTTTTCACAAACCAAGCATGTTATATGCGTCCCCTTCCATTGGAATGAGATTTAGCATCATAGGCCTTTCGTCAATACGTCACCCGGTGGCGGAGATGCATAGGTGGTACGTGGCAGTGAGAGGGAAATTTGAGGCAATTCCGCCTCAGTTGAATGAAATTCAGTGGCTCGCCGTAGGTCGAATTTGTCTTTTCAAGACAAGGTGGCTTTTCTCAGAATACGTAAAACAACGGATCTTGTTCTTGTGTTCACGCATTGGGGGATGTCTGTCACCCAAGGCACGACCACCCACTGTCATATAAATTCAAGCATCGTCCCATTGTCTTCTCCTCGAAAACGGTCAACGACCTCCACCCTGAAGCAGGCAATCCTTCTGAACACTTCTTCTTGAGAAAAAGATGACCAAACATTACCGACTTTCTCCTTTGCGAAAGACAGTCAATAATTCGCTTCTCTCTTTTCTGCAACAAAACAGTCAACGATTTCCAATTAAATAGACTACTCCGAAACGCCCCAAAGCATATACCATGTCTGAGTTAGTCACTACAGATGAATATGGTGCTATCTTTTTAGAATTTCGAGCATGGAAATCTGCATGTTGGCCTGTGTGTCAAAGACCAGCTGAGATTGTCGTGGCGTACCTTTATTCTGCGACGAATTTTCTCATGGCGACTATCGAAAGAGGCCATTACGTGAACACTGGAAAAATCCTGAATGAGCTACGCCACGAGAAACTCCTTCGGACATACTGCAACAGTTTAGAGTACCGTCCACTCGAGTTGGCTATTGCAAAAACCGATATGTTGACGGTGAAGCTGTTATTGGACGTGACAGGTTGGAGCGTTGAAGATCATTTCTTGGCCAAAGCCAGGACGCCGCTAATGACTCACTATCTAGAGCAGAAGAAGACCGAACAAGCTCAGAATCAAGATCAAGCGACGCGGGAAGCCAACTGGAATTTGCTGTTGACACCGTTTGGGTTTGTAGAATTTACTCTTGGGTTATGAGGCAAAAAATGGTTCTAAAATGTTGAAGCGGCCGAAAGATGGTTCAGCAAACATCGGCGACAGCTTATGGCCTTTATAATATATCACAGTCTGAGATGGAAAATCCAGCCAGAACTCCATTACCGACAAGGGAGTTTACCGACATTCTCGCCTGTCTCAAATCAACTCTTACTCATGCGCTATAGGTGTTACGTATTTGCATTACGGACTACCGTGTGCTTTTCATCTACGCCTTGAGTTATCTCACTTCATCACCCGCGCTCCGACTGTTTGTCATTGTTTGTTGGCAATTTTGCGTTTTTTGTGGACGACAGTTTTCCAGCAAGCTTGGATTTTAGTAGGCATCTACGAACGACATGCTCTTGAGAAGGAATAGGCATTGGCGGAAGAACCTGAGGCGAATGCTCAAATGCTACTTGGTCGTGGTAGCTCTGGATAAATGTCTGTTGAATAATGTATCTTGCGTTCACAATCTCCTTTTGTCTAATGTTGATCCTAAGAATAACAAGCTAAGCAAGATGATGATTCCTCCATGCTTGTTTTGAGTGAATGCTCTCCATCAGGTTTTATTCAAAAATGAACGGGCCTGTTCTCACAAGTCGACTGAAGACACTGAAAAATACTTCCGCTCACGTGGAATTACTTATTCCAGCTAAACGTGAGTAAACCCCCATGACATAAATATAGGCAAGATCTCTTTATGATAATAGAATGCGGAATGGCAATAACAGAGGGTGGTAGGTGGCGCAAGAAAAATCGTGCCTTTGACACAAGCACAAGATGCATATATATTACCTAAGGGGAGCAGACAGGAAACAAGCTTTAGGCTCAATCCAAAAGACGGAAATCAGCGGGGCATCGGGTCGTGCCAACTGTTTGGCCCGTCTTCCGGATACTGGAAATGTCTGGCCATTGTTCAGAAATTTCATAATCCCATGTCAATTCGCTGCTTCCTGTGAACGGGCCGCATGCGGAACGACCAACCCAAAGACAGTCCCGTCTGCAGCTCGAGATATTCACATCAGCGTCATATTACACATGTCGCAAACTACAGCGCACCTGCAATGCAATGAAATCTGACACTCTGCAAGACGCGTGCCTGAGTGAGGCTGTAGCCGGAAAGTCAAAGTACCGTTTTCCAAACCGCCTACACGCGGTCAAGCCAGAAGCGACAAGACTCGTCATCGCCTACAGCACCAGATAAAATGGCTCTCC